TTGTTTTAAGCATTTCTGAGGCACTGTTGGAAGCCTCTGGTTCATTAAGTAACTGGAGGTCAAACATTACTTATTCAAAGCTTTTACTGCAGAATTCATCTCATGCCATTCACAAAGAGAGAAAATATTAATCACTTGAGAGAATACTTTCAACAGTATGGGTCACCACTTGTGATATTTTTTTTTTTTCCAAACAGCCCTCTTGAATGCTAAATGCTTCTTACAGAATTATTTAACTTTATTTAATGCATTAGCAGACGAGTCAGGTTTCTGTGAGATCATTTTACTTATCCATATTTGAGGTATGAAGTCATAGCATGTATACAAAATATCTCCAAATTAAAAATCAAAAAGTTCTGTTACATTTTATTTCTCTCTTAGAACAGAACAGCTTATCTAATCAGGAATCACTAGACTGTGATTTATTGTGATTTATTTGAGATCTTTTTTGCCTTACAATGAAATTCCATGGCAAAAAGCTCAAAGCATATTTGGGAAATTTTTTGTTTCACTGACTTCTTTGACATTCTGTGAATGCTGCCCCTAACTATTTTCTATTTCAGATCACAGCCAAGGACAGGTAAGCTACCTTGAAACTTTACTTATCCTTCACCTTTGCATGTGACCAGGATGCCCATGCTCCTAATCACCACCTCTTGTGCCTGGTAACAAAATATTGGGGTGGGAAAAAAGAGGGGAGATTTGAATGAATTAGTGTGTTGGGAGGCAAGTTTGACTCTGGCAAATGTGTTGCTTCAATAGAGGGTTGTAGGGAAGCACCAGAAGCTGGTCCTGTGTTGACATACTAGCCGCACAAATATTTAAGACAGTATTAGCAATTTCACATCTGGTACCCAGTTTCAAAAACTTTCTCAAAATTTAAGCCTTTTGTTACCTGACTCAGAGGATGAATCTTGGGAAAATACCATTTGCCACTAAATTAACAGGAACTTATTGTGGTTGCACAATGAGCAGTTGTAAGATTGAAGCCCAAGCAGAAAACTATCAGAAGGAGCTATGACTTAACAAAAAGGCCATTTTCAGATCTCCGAGATTCTCTCCCAGGGGAAATAAGCTTGTTTGCCTGGTGCAGTTAAAGGCAAACTGACAAAATGTGAATGAAGCCAACTATTCTGGCAATGCCAAAGGAAAGTTTAAAGATAAGGACAAAAAAAACCAAAAAAACCAAATTTAAAGTAATGTAGCAAAACTCTTCTTTTTGCAAATAAGATGCCATCTAGCTCATGCAAAAGGCATGCAAGGTTACTTCCAAGTTTTAAAAAAAATCCATCCTTAAAACACTAGCCTCTAAATTACTTCTGCAGTGCACCGTGGCATGTCCTCAATATTGAAAGGCAGAATAATGTCCTCTGGGGGGGCAAAAAAAATGTAATCAACATTGTTTTTTAAACTATCCTAAATTCATTCCTAACATGAAAGGCAAAAGCCCGTGCAGTCCAAGTATGAAAAGTGCTTTCCTTCTATATTTAATCTAGTGATTGTCTCTTGACATACAGATCTCACTATGTCCTTGCCTGTTAAAAAGGTGTTCCTCACTCTCAGAAACACAGAGATGTCTCCCAGCAGATTGGAGATGTTATTATTTATATATGATTGAACACTTTTATGAACTATCATATCCACAATGATTTACTGAAATCTGTGAGAATTCATGCAACCATTTAGTCTTCATACTTTTACAACATGAGGATGACAGAATGGTCTTTTTTCAACTATAATCTCCTGCACTGAGATATCAGTCTTTGCTTCTTGTGGGCATTTCTTTTTGGCTCCCAAGTCAAATCTCATTGAAACATAGTTTCTAAAACTTGACCTCTAGATTACTAATCAATGACCAGAATAATCTATTTATTTCTAGTCTTTGGCCTAGTGATATAAAGTCCAGGCAGAATTTATTCAGTGAAAACTCCCTGCAGACCCAGAATATGTGCATTTATTCAATACAACAGAAAAGTTACCATGCTGATCATCAAGTCCTTTACAAATGATAGCTTTTCTTCTGCTCATTCTCACACTACAGCTGCTCTTATTCTCCTTTTGAGAAGGTATTTGTCCTGAGCAACAATCCTTAGGTACACACAAATATGAAACATGCTGCTATCAAGCAAACCACATGAGTGAAATCTCCTTGGAACAGAGGGTGGTGGCTGCGTTTCCAATATGGTGAGGGTTGGCAAATTGACTACATTGGACCACTGCCACAAACACACCAAAGCAAGAGCTACATACTCACCATGGTAGAGGCAACAAATGTCTGGCTGGCAACATACTCTGTAAACCATTGCCACTGCTTGGAACAGGCCTTGAGAGACACATTTTGTAGCAGTATGCCACAGGGAATCGAACCAGACAAAGGGACTAATTTTCAAAATAACCTCATGCAGAGGCTCTGGTCAAAGAAACACAGCATTAAGTGGATATGTAACACCCCTTACCACCCATGAGCCTCTGGGAAGACTCAGAGGAATAATGGACTGCTGAAGACCATGTTAAGAGGATTAGGTAATGTGGCATGGAAGCACTGGGATGCAAATTTAACAGAGGCCATTTGGCTGGTTAACACTAGGGGGATCTGCTCCTACCCAAACAAAATCCCTTCACACTGTAGGAGGAGATATGTCCCTGCACTACACAGGGAAGCAGCTGGGGAAGTCAGTGTGGATTTTTCCTTCCACTAAGACAAACCCATTTGTGGGATTGTCTTTGCCCAAGGACCTGACCTAGCTGTACTTGGTGGGTAATGCTGAAGGATGTGTGTGCCTCAAGGAGATTTAATCCTGGGGGAAAACTATACTGTGGTGTAAATTGTATGTTGCAGGAAGTAAAGTAGCAGGAGTGACATGAACTGATGAAGAATGAATTTTGTGAGGAGCAAGGAGAATGTAAGGAGGTGACAACTCAAGATGGGTGTTGGTGGCCAATGGTCAGGTATGCCAGTTCTGCTGTTCTGATCACTCATCCTGGTGGACTGGAGATCTGGAGGGATGAAGGAAGCCCATGAAACAGGAAAATAATATCTCTCTGTGAAGGAGCAGGGGACCCTAGTTAATGAAAATGTATGTTTCGTAGAGAGATGGTTTAGGGATGTAGTTTAAGTTGTATGTGTGTGTAAGAAGGGGTTCAAATAATGAGAAATAAATACAAAGGAACAGTCAGAAGATGCATGAATTATGTGGGATCCGAGTGTGACAGAAATGATATGGAACAAGGAGTGGATAGTATATTGTGTCTGGCTGAGCTGGAGTTCATCTCCCCCACAGCAGCCCTCACCTTGCTGCACTTTGCATCGATGGCTGGAAAGGTGCTGGTAACACACCAGTGTTTTGGCTCTTGCTGAGCAGTGCTGGCACAGCATCAGCCCTGTCTCTCCAACATTCCTTCCTCCATCAAGGGGGCTGGGGATGGGCAAGATCCTGGGAGGGGACGAAACCAGGCCAGCTGAGCCAAACTGACCAAAGTAAAATTCCGTGGCATATGATGCCAGCTCAGATACAAAAGCTGAGGGAGGGCAGGAAGAGGAATGGGAGGCATTAGTTATTTTACAGTGTTTGCCTTCCAGAGCAGCCACTTGACATACTGAAGCCCTGCTTCCTGGGAAGTGTCTGAGCATCACTCACCGATGGGAAGCAGATTATTTTATTTTTCCCTTCACTTATACACACACAAACTTTCACTTTTTTCTTGCCTTATCTCAATCTTCAAGTTGTTTTCCATATTATGTATCTCTTCCCTGTTCCACTGGGAAGGGGATTGATAGAGCAGCTTGATGGGCAGCTGGTGTTCAGCCACAGTCGACCCACTGCAGTCATACACAAAGAGGGCTCTGAAGAGGCAACCCACAAAGACAGGGGTGTAAATGTGTGGTGATGGCCTGCAGAAATCTTTCCCCAAAAGGGAGAGGAGTCTAGCAGTAGCTATGCAGCCTGGGGCACAAGTATGCAGCATTTACCTCCTGCCAGGTATTCTGCTGTGCTGTAAAGAAACAAAATTCTTCTGGAACCTTAACAGGGACTCAAAAAGCAACAAAATACACTAATTCTCCATCTGAAACACAGGAGGAATAGTAGTGTTAGGAAGCTTCTCAAAAGCAGACTTTGGATTTATCTCATTTCTCATCATCACCCAGTAGCGGACATGTTTTACCCTAAATTCACAGAATCTAGGGATCTTCGAAACATAACACTTCGCAGAGCATATTGCTGAGAGATATAGTCTCCTGAGTCAAAGAACCTACAGCAAACAAGAATAACAAAAAATAAGCAAAATAAATATTGGATGTTCAATTTTCTGATATCTATCTTAATTATTATGGTGCCTTTTTCTGTAAAAGTCTCATCCTTACACGTTTTAAGTTCTAACAGGCACTTCAGTCTCTGTGAAGTCAAAAGGACTTTGAAACTGCTTTTCTGAAATGAAATCTTGACTGTTATGAGCACCTCCTTTTCTGTTTGTAATTTTTACTTTATCAGAACACTCAAGTACTTGGTGTTCAGCACATGAAGCTAAGAAATCACTTTTATAAATGAGTCAAACACACAGTAGTTTCATGAAAGCAAGATTAGTGTGTTAGTAATGGTAAATGTGTTATTAATTACTGCTTTTCACTTAAACCTTTTCTGATAAGAACACTGAACCTGAAATTTCCTTTGGTATTTTCCCAACTAATCCACATTACAGACTCTATTCTGTATTTAATAAACACAGTAGAAATCAAGTTGTAGTGCAGTGATCACCAACATGAAGTCAATAAAGATCATATTTTGCCTTATATTCTATTCTACCAACATTACTATAACACAGCAATGTCATGTGTCAAAGTACAATACTCTTAGTAAGTGATGAGTGTCTTTAATATTCTAGTTCAAAAAAATTCCCCAGATGACTCAAAATGAGAGAGGAGAAAAAGACAGGATTCAATGAGGAAATAAGAAAGATATTTAATCAGTTCACCTGCTAGAGTTCCATCGTGGTCTACTCACCTCAATCACCTCAGGCTGGGACATCATGGATGATGGCACCAAATCGGTGGGGATATCCATGGTAGCTCAAAATGTCCCTGGTGTCCTTGCACTGTTCCTCTGCACCAGCAAGCTCTTGCTAGGAACACAGAAGCCCTTCCTCAGACTCTAGTCATACTGATATTTACTCCTAACAGGAAAGAAAGAAAGAAAGAAAACCTGTTGAGAAAAATAAGAGAACTGGGTAGGCAGTCAACAGCAAGACCCTGGGCTGCTGAAAAACCAATCTTTGTGCAGCCCTGCTTGCTGACATGTTATTTATTTTTTTTGCAGGAGAAATTTCAAAAGCCATACTGGAATTTGATCCAGAACAGGAAAAAAATTCACTTGACAACACAAACTAGACTCATACAAACTGAAATCAACAGGAAGGCTAGCACATAGAATGCTTTTCTTTTGCAAGGAAATACAGTCACCTACAGAACATTGCAACTGTGTTGACTTTTTTCCCCCTGCAACAAAAAATAAAAATCCCCACAAAAGAATACTCATAGAATTACTTGCTGGAATTCAGGATACATTTATTCCCTCAGTTCAGTGATCACATGAGCTTTCCTTCTTTGTTAAGAAAAACAGCTTACACATTATGACTTAGAAACATGACACCCTTTTTTCCAGGCAGTCATAGATTTGCAGCACATGAATACACCGATCTGTAAAATTTAATCAGCTGATTCAATAGAATGAAGTTATCTCCATAGCGATTGTGTTTATCAAGGTCAGTCCAGCTGCCACAGATATGTTCTTTTCTTTTTCTACTCTTTTGTGCAAACAAACAAGCAAACAAAAAGGTGGAGGGAGAAACTCCTGTAACAGGCCAAGATATCAATCCCATTTAAAAATTCTAGACTAAGACTACTGCTAGATTTTTCCCTTAGTGAGACCAGACATATACAACACAACCCACAAATCAGTCATCACAGAAAGGATTTTGGAGAGACACCCATTGCTGTTTTCATCTATCACTTCCTATTCTGCAAGTCATAGCAGAAATCTACTCATGCAAAGTGTAATCAGCATCCAATAAACACACCAAAAATTACTCCAAACTTCAGTGGTATTTTTCAAACTGAGGCCATGCTATAGTTACACAGACAATACCAGTAACTTTCCTGGCCATAAGTTCATTTTTTCAAAGGCAACACTTACCAAGCCAAGAAAGAATAGATAAGTGCTGTAGAAAAGTTGTGCTCCACATGCTTTTCTGATTCAGTTATGTCTTTTTTTTTTGGTCATGTTAATTTAAACTCAGCTTTTGCACTCCACTGTGGAAATTATTCCTCCTTCTTCAAAAGCATCATCTTGAAATGCCTGCTTCACATTTCAACACATCCCCACATGCCTTACGTCACATGTAGCTGTATCATCTTCCAAGCTCTAGGATCACTTTTTCCATCTTTATATAGCTTTCCAGTGACCCCTATTCTTTCCTACTCAGTTCTTACTAGCAAACTTTCATTCTTTCCACTCCCTGCTCCAAATTTCTTCTCCTATACTCAGGGGGCGGGCAGAAAATGGAGACGTAGCATCTCTCTCCAAGAGAGCCTTCACAAAGTGAAAGAACAAACACAGCCTTCAGGCTTCCTGTTTTCTTTCAAAAATGAGAGTTGAAATAATTTTCTGAAATTTGCTAATTGTTCTATGGTCAAATGAGGGAAACAGCATTAACCTGGAATTCTGAATTAGGGAAGCTTCTGCAACTTGGCAATGATTTTCAGTAAAACTCTATGAACAGCCTGAGAATCCTCAACCAACATATCTCATCAATGTCTTCTGAGTTGTTGCAACTGTAACTTCAATAAGATCTCAAGACATTTTTTTCTGTTCTTCTCATGACGTGCTTAAAAGCAGCAGTTTCACTGCACCTACTTTACAGCACACCACTGTTAGTTTCTTTTAAAATCTTTTCTCTTAATCCTGAAATGCTGCCACTTTTGGATAATGAAGGTGAGAAAAAAATTACAGTTGAAGCTGACTTTAGGGAGTACTGTCTAAATCAAAACCAAAGGTATGCTTAGAATCCTGTCTGTCAAACAAAAGGGTGAGAAAAGAAACATTTTTACTAAGGAGCATCATAAAGAAAAAAATCCTGAAAAAGTAAGAAAAAAATCCAAAGTCTGTTCAGCTTACAGTGTAAAGTACTAATTGATGCCAGATGGAGAGGTCCATCTGTAAACTCAACAAAGCAAATTAAACATTTGAACACCATGTAAAAAGGTGAGGAAGTAAGAAAGATCTCACACAAATGTCACACTTCTAGATGACACATCTGAATTTTTGCTATCTGAAAGCATTCATTTGTCATCACTCACCTCTGGCAGCCTTCACTAAACAATCCTGTTTGTAATTAATTAATCTAGCTCACTAATAAATGCATCACACCACCATGGCAACCTTACCAGTCACAAAGAAAAATTAATGCCATCCGGAGAAGAGCAACAACAATGACTTGTCCTGCCTAACACTTCATTTTACTCCTTGTTGAAGTGACTGGTAGCACAACAGGTGGTTTTCTGCTGTCCCAGGTTAAGAACAATTTACTGGAAACAGCAACGAGATTAGAATACTAACAGCAACAGCAACAACATTAATAACATAAATGTGCATAAAGAAGGTGATTTACATACAAAGGTGCTCAAAAATCCACCTGGTGCCATGCTGCCCCTGAGACAATGAACCATTCACAGACCCTCTGTGCCCATGTTTTCTTTCCCGACTGCAAGCCCCCTCCGCTTTCTTGGAAACAAGATTCCCTTACTTCCAGCCCCCTGTGGTGATGGCTGTGGCATAGAACAACCACCTAGGCATACCCACAGGGCTCCAGCTCTGACCCTTCATGGCACTGCGAGAAAATTAACTCCACCCTGGTCAAAAAACAAGTACTATGCACCCCTTATTCTACACCATCTACATCATGCCCCAATCCTACACGTTCTAGCTTTACACACATACATATATAGATACACACAAACACAAGCATCATTTCCATAGTCAGGGGGCATCCCTCCAAGATGTCTGTTGTGGTCACTTAGTCCATGACTGTGGGCTCTACAAGGAGCTCACAGCTGGTGTATCTGGAACATCCATGCTCATTCTCCTTGGTAGTTATGGCATATAGTGGCAGTGTCATTCAGCAACCAGTATTATTTAATTCAACATTACACACTCTTCTCACCCAAAAAGAAAATCCCTTTGAGGTACACACCATGTTTCCCCATCCGTCTGCATTACCCACCAAATGCACTCAGGTCCTTGAACAGCAACTTATAGCAACTCCTCTACCCAGGCAGAGATGTCTTGCCACAATTCAGAAGTCCAGATGTGTTTCCCGCTGTGCCGCCAATTGCCTTTTTTTCCATTATTCCAGCCATCCCCACATTTGCTTTTGTACCAGTCCATGGTGACTTCTGGTGATTTGTATTTCATATTTGAGTTTTCTGTGTGATCAAGCAAAACCCACTTACTCCACATAGCACCAATGGCATGAAGTGTGGAAGGGACTTTCCCTTTGAATATCCAGCCTCATGCTGGGCAGCCAGCAGGAGCTATACATTGATGCCATTCATTTCTGAAGCAGATTGATGCCCTTCATAAGCTGCCAGATATGCTTTTTCAGCCAGGGTGTAGGATCGTAGCCTTGGATCCCTTCTATTGCTGGTTTCAGAACCCCAGGGGTTGTCCTTGAGTCTCTCCAGGTACCTCTCAAGAGAGACTGCAGGAAGGTCCATTCTCCCTGGCTGCAGTGTAAATCACACTTTTTTATATCCTGTCCCATCCTGACTGGCCCAAGGGCTACTGCATGAACAATCTATTGTTTAATTTGTCCAAAAGCTTGTTGTTGTCCAGGATCCCACTTGAAATCATTCCCCTTCCACGCCACCTGATAGAGAGGGCTTACAGTCTGACTATACTCTGGAATATGGATCCTCCAAAAAACCGCAGTGCCTAGGAAAGTCTGTGTTTCCTACTTGCTGGCTGGTGGGGAAATAGCTGCTATTTTGTTGATTTCATCCTCTGGAAACTGACAACATCCATCTTGTCATTTTACTCCTAAAAACTTAATTTCCTGGGCAGATCCCTTGATCTTACTTCACCAAGAATCAGGACACCACCAAAGCATAAGGACAAGCCAAACTAATTTAAGTTGTTTTGAGGAATATAATTAATACAGGTAGTTCAGTGTACTCAAGTTGCAAGCAGAGCTACCTGCATGTAGTGTGTTCCTCAGTGGAAGTGGTTATAATCTTTACAATCTCCTCCTAACTCTGCCCTCTCTCTGTTCCATGGGGTATTATGTATGCAGATGAGGATAACCCTTTTCACTCTGATCAGTACTTATAGAAGCTGAAAGAAAGTAATAGTTGTGATTCAGTATTGGGCAAAAGAAGCAGAAAATAAATAAAAGAGGAGCTTTCCAGACAGATGGTGCAGCCCATGTTGTACTCCTGCCCTAAAGTTCTTCTGAACAACAGTGAGCAATTTTTTTTCCATTTAATGAGACTCCCATCTCCCCATCAAATTTCTGATTTCTCTTGCTTCAGCAGATGCACTAACAGTCTGGAAGCTAGCACAAAATTAACAGTCCCAGTCAAACTTTTGATTTGAATACACATAATTTACAGAGCAAATTCTGCAATTTGGTTGGTCTCAGCCAGGCTCCGTTACCTGACACCCCTCTCCAAAAAGCAGGATAAAGAGTGTTATCACATCCACTATCTACTACCATGGTAATAAGTACTGAAATAGATCTAATATATGGCATTGATTAAACACGTTCAATAGTGGTGACTGCAGCTGATCAGCACACCTTCAGACCAACTACTGTCTAAGGTTACAACGTAAGATGTATCCAAAAGTATGTATCCCATCACCATTTTCATAAACTGATAAAACCAGATGGGGCAGTGTTCTTTATCCCATCCATGAGATATCTCTTATAACTCCCTCCAAGGGATAGCATCTGCTAATGGGCCATCACCATCACGCCATGACTCATTAAGTTACATCATTCCACTGTGAGGTGCTCCACCCAGGGGGAGGAACCAAGCATTCCTACCTGAATATAATCTGAGGCTTGGAACACCAGAGTATCTACCACAGGATTCCCAGAGGACAAGAGCTTGACAGCCACC